TAGGCTGCCCCTCTGTTGACCTCACTTTGCACTCCTGCCATAGGCTGCCCTTCTGTTGACCTCACTCTGCACTCCTGCCATAGGCTGCCCCTCTGCTGAAACCAGCTGTTCTTAGAACTGGTGGTTCAGGCTCAGGAGTCAGACGTGGAGAAGCGTGCTCCTTGCCACATTGCCCAGTCATGTATCATTGGCTATGAAAACTGGTATCCTCTCCTCAGCTAGTCCAATGGGCTGCTAGACTTGAGCAGACCTTTGTCCATGATCCTAAATGGAACACTATGATGTCCCTAATGGCAAGAATATATATAAATTGTGTTTTATTGGGCATATGTTGGGCATATATTGTTGAATTGGGCATATATTAGGCATATGTCTAGGAATGCCCATCTGGCACAATGTATTGTGTGGTCCTATTTTAAGGAGAGCGTGCATTGACTTTAATGGGACAAAATCAATTCTTATTGATAAGATCTGTCCAAACTTAAAGCTTTATGAGGCTATCCATAAATCAGGTGAAAGTAGTGCAAATCATGCCAGCTTGCTTGTTAGACAGAGTTTCTCAGAGTTGCAGGGCATCTGTTTTCAGTGACTAGCACTGCTGGTTTCCTGAGGGCAGTTTAAACTGTTGTTTTGACTAGCCCTGAACAAAAAAATCTGATTTACAAAGATTTTGAAAGCAGATTCATCATATGGAAATAGATGCACGTTTCTTTTTTTTTTTGATGGTCTCTATAAAACACAGTTGAAATTTTTCATTTTTAAATACTGTGATTTTTCCCATAGGAAATTTCTGACATATAGGGCGAATCTACATGTGCTATTAATGCTATAAAAGCTTACTGTGCAGTAAAATACTGAGCAGAAAGCCTTCCCTGGGAGCATGTCTACACATGCTTCCTATTGGGAGCAGCCTGGTACAGGGCTGCTCCTACCCTGCCTACAGCAGTTGGGGGAGCTTCAGGCCCTGGGGTGCTAGCCTGGGGGTTGGCAGAGAGCATGTGGCCACTCTCAATGTGCATGGGGCCTATTTGGGTAGGGAATGGCTGGAAGCTGCCCTAGAAGTGGGACAGCTCTTGGCCTCTTGCTGTGCAGGGAAGCAGAGAGCTCCCCAGTCCTGGTTCTGCTCTGCTCCTGGCTCCTATGGGGAGCAGGGAGCTGAGCATTGCCAGTATAGGGGGAGTTGGGCAGAGAGCTACCCTGTCCTACTACTGCTTGGCTCCTGGGGGTTGCTGGGAGCTGAGCAGCACCATGACTGGGGGAGCTCCCTGTCCCCTATGGTCCCCTAGTGGCAGGAGCAAATTTGCCTCCAGTCAGCATCTAAACATGTGCTACCATGTAGTTAGTATCTATTGCACAGCTAGTTTACTACTTGTATTTACAGGTAGTAGCTAACTGCTCAACAAACTAATTTACTGCATGGTAAATGGTGTACATGTGTAGATGCTGATGCTTTACTGCACAGTAGATTAGTCTACTACACAGTAAAGTATCTCATGTAGACACACCCACAGAGTTGGATGCTTGATTTCACAAATGCACTTTATAAATGTGACTAATCTGGCCAATCCAAAAATAACATTGATAATCAAAGCAAAGTCCATTTGACCCTAACAGCTATTTCTGTAGCAAACGGCCCACAGCAGAGTGATATGGCCAGGCCCATAGCCAATCATCTTTAAGTTCTCTAGGCTAAATGACCATCAGGGCTCCTGGTTTTCTCTGATTAAAAAAAAACAACCCATTTTTTTTAATTAAAAAAGTAACACAAACCCCACATTTTCCCATGAAAATGAAATGCCACACACACACGCGTGCGCGCGCGCGTGTGTGTGTGGATAGTACTGTTTTATTTTAATCATGGAAAAATGTGGATTTTGGGTTACTTTTTTTAAATTTGACAATTGGGGATTTTTTATTTTATTTGAGAAAACCAGGATCCCTGATGACCATGGACTCATTTACAGCTGGGTCACCTGGGAGCACAGAGACTGTGGAAGTATTTAAGAGTGGGTTAGATATGTACTTGACTGGAATGGTTTGGTTGGGGGTTGGACCAGATGACCTCCTGAAGGCCCATCTAGCTCTACTGTTCCATGATGATGTGGCTCCAGAGCACGGCTTGGACATATAGCTCTGAAAAAATAGGAGAACACCTTAATTTCTCTGATGTCTCACCTCTCATCCCTTGATACCTGGCATAGATGTTTATGCTCTGAATTAACATCAGTTAAGTGAGAGGAGAAGCTGGCCTGTGGCATTCATTTCTCTTTCCTGTTAAAGAAGCAGCTGCTTTCAGCGTGCCCTGGTGTTTGTGTGTTTCCTTGCAGGTCGGAGGATCTGCGTAGGCGAGACTCTTGCCAAAATGGAGCTCTTCCTCTTCTTCACAAGCCTCCTGCAGAGGTTCACGTTCCAGCCTGCCCCTGGCGTTTCCCCCTCAGACCTGGACCTCACCCCTGCAGTCGGGTTTACCACACCCCCAATGCCCCATCAGATCTGTGCAGTGCCCCGGTCCTAGGGTTCGCAAATCCCCTTTCTTCCCGTGTGTGTTCTGTGCTGCAGCTCTGAGGATACAGTGAGATTCACGCTCTGCACCTTTGGAGGTTGTTGCGCTCTGCGTGGATGATTTCCATCTTGGCAGCAAGGTCCTAGGAGGAGTAAGGATGGTAGAAGAAGAAGGCAGGGGGGGATTGCAGCACCATGTAGTCTCTGCTGATGTTGATTTTACCGATCCCACACTGAAAGCAGGATTTCTTGCTTTCTCTACCTTGTGATGTTAAAAATAGGTTAAGCAACATGTATGCAAAACACCCCCTTTCTCTTATGAATAGGGATCCACTGGAATTGCAATTGTGCAATTTGTGTGAAAACCATGAATTCAGGCAGGTTCTGTGAAAAAGTGCAGGCTCTGTGCTTCTGGTGGGCTTGCTTGAAAAAAAAAAACACCCAACAACTTACTGACAAGCAGAAAAGCCCTGCAGTCTTGGGGCATGGGGGTTGGGGGGGGAGGGA